GCAGATTTATCCTTCCCGAAAATTTTGCCTACCGAGGTCCAGACACTTCACTACAAACTTCCACAAGACCGCAATCTTGATCCAGATGGGTTACAAAAGCTCTGCTGTGAAGAATATATTTTTTTGTCAATTTGAGAATGTTTTGTTCTTGGGTTCAAAACTTTTTTTGGAGTGCAGAGGGCATCTGTGCACAGGGCAATCTTACAATGGCTAAATTTGAAAGGTTCGGCAAAAGGACGGCATCTTCTAACATTCTATTTTCATTTTTCTTAAATTCTTTTTTTTCTCAAGGGAATGTGCCAACGTGCAGGAAGAGCCTGACGAATGGATTTGCACCACCTGTCTACCACCGAAGAAATTCTCAAAGAAAGAAAATTCCACATAGACGAGATAGACTCAAGTGTACAAAGGCTTTTTTATGTACAGGACCCCAGCATAGATTAAAGGCAGTTGGCATGCTTGCAGTTCGTAAAACAAAATTGCTTCAGTCGTATGAGTGAAAAGAATCAACAACTGAGATGTTTGATCGAACAATGCAGAAAACCTATTAAATCGAATAGTCTGTTTAATACATCAAAATTAGCCTCACTAGCCTCGCATGAGATAACTCATTTTTGTTTAACTTTTGGAATTTAAGAATGAAGTTATTAAAGCAAATTTAACCATGGGCAAAATAATATTCATCAACTAGTGGCCAGTTTTGCATTGAGTCTACTGTTTGCCTTATAAGTTATTTGTGTATTAGTTGAGTCATGTGACCTTTCTTACTTAATTAACCTCTAGGGACTAAACTAGTTCAATTATAGGTCCTACAGGCGTTCATCAGAGTAAAGAAAAGAAAGCGATTTATCATAAACCGGGAAAAAAGTCCGAGTGTGGCGGTGTATTTTGTGTCCTGACCTAGTTTTTGCTGGGTGATGCAAATCATGGCAAAACAGTGGCTTTTCTTGACTGAGTTAGGTTTGCTTTGAGGAGGGACCATCAGAAAAGTGCCCTGGGAGGTACTCCCTTATATTAGCCATATAGGTATGTGCCACCCCAAAGAAAAGGGTTACTGAGCCGTTTTGGTCTGAAAACGGGTATAGACTTTGCCCACCGGTAAAGGCAGAACAAATGCATACAAGCCTTAAAAAAGCATGTTCAAGTGCCGAACCCCCCTAGAAAATGCTTTCATTCTCCTCACCCCCCATCCCTATCCTATGCACTGAGGCGGGCACCTCACTACTTAGGCTGACTTTATCACTCAGTCGATAATGTCCACTAAGGTACGTGTGAGAATTTTTAAATTTAGGCCTTACATATCATGGACGCAAGGCACGTTATTTTTAGTTTGGATAAATGGTTTCGTTCAAGTTTTGTCGGATGAAAAACAACCCGGTACAAAAACTTTAAAACAGATAATTTAAAAACAACCCCGTATTGCTAATCACCAGCGACAGTCAGATAAGTAATCAGTAATGATCAAGCAAGTCTAGTTCCTTTATCGACTTTTTTATTTGAGTTGATTTTGATTTTTTTTTTTTTTAGGTATCTGGTCATGATCGCCCAAACCCTACCGCCACCCCCCATCCCACATCACACACCATAGTGTGACAAGTCTCTCTTTATGCGGATCCGAGCCATTCCTGTACATTGACCCGTCAGCGGTTTAAATACAGGAATAGCTCCGAGTGTTTGAGTCCGAACTGAACGCTGTTCGCCAACGCTGTGACAATTTCCCATCTTCGTTGGTACTGTTCAACACTAGAAAAAGGTTCTGCCGATGTAAGTGAAATTTTAAGGTTCATACATCGACTTCTTGCTTCTTTCATTGCGTAAGACGAAACAGAAGTCACACATCACAACGACGTTAGTAATATCGTTGTCCAGTGTGACGCGTGGCTGAAAGTTAAGCTTTAACTTATTAATTACTAACTATTTTTATCCTCCAATTACAGGTCGGAGCCATTCCTGTATTTAGTCGCTCGTCATCGACGCCAGTGTCCGAGATGACCAAAAAGGTATATACTTCATGGTGGAAAGCCACAAGTGCACCGGTAATATACAATCTGTGTAATATGTAGTATTGTGTCTTCTCCCTAATAGCTAGTGGTAGTTACTAGTAGTTACTAGTAGTTAGTGGTAGTTACTAGTAGTTGCTAGTAGTTGTCGGTAGTTACTAGTAGTTACTAGTAGTTGTCGGTAGTTTCTAGTAGTTGCTAGTATTTACTAGTAGTTACTAGTAGTTGTCGGTAGTTACTAGTAGTTGATGGTAGTTATTGGTATTTACTAGTACTTACTGGCAGTTACTAGTAGTTGCTGGTGGTTACTAGTAGTTCCTAGTAGTTATCGGTAGTTATTAGTAGTTACTGGTAGTTAATTTAGTATTAGTTCTCGGTAGTTATTAGTAGTTGTCGGTAGTTACTAGTTGTTACTAGTAGTTACTAGTAGTTGTCGGTAGTTTATAGTAGTTAATGGTAGTCATTGGTATTTACTAGTACTTACTGGTAGTTACTAGTAGTTGCTGGTAGTTACTAGTAGTTGCTGGTGGTTACTAGTAGTTCCTAGTAGTTATCGGTAGCTACTAGCAGTTACTGGTAGTTACTAGTAGTTACTGGTAGTTACTAGTAGTTGTCGGTAGTCATCAGTAGCTTCTGGTAGTTAGTAGTAGTTTTCGGTAGTTACTAGTAGTTGTCGGGAGTTACTAGTAGTTACTGGTAGTTATTAGTAGTTACTGGTAGTTGTCGGTAGTTACTAGTAGTTACTAGTAGTTGATGGTAGTCATTGGTATTTACTAGTAGTTACTGGTAGTTACTAGTAGTTGCTGGTAGTTACTAGTAGTTGCTGGTGGTTACTAGTAGTTCCTAGTAGTTATCGGTAGCTACTAGCAGTTACTGGTAGTTACTAGTAGTTACTGGTAGTTACTAGTAGTTGTCGGTAGTCATCAGTAGCTTCTGGTAGTTAGTAGTAGTTTTCGGTAGTTACTAGTAGTTGTCGGGAGTTACTAGTAGTTACTGGTAGTTATTAGTAGTTACTGGTAGTTGTCGGTAGTTACTAGTAGTTACTAGTAGTTGATGGTAGTCATTGGTATTTACTAGTAGTTACTGGTAGTTACTAGTAGTTGCTGGTAGTTACTAGTAGTTGCTGGTGGTTACTAGTAGTTCCTAGTAGTTATCGGTAGCTACTAGCAGTTACTGGTAGTTACTAGTAGTTACTGGTAGTTACTAGTAGTTGTCGGTAGTCATCAGTAGCTTCTGGTAGTTAGTAGTAGTTTTCGGTAGTTACTAGTAGTTGTCGGGAGTTACTAGTAGTTACTGGTAGTTATTAGTAGTTACTGGTAGTTGTCGGTAGTTACTAGTAGTTACTAGTAGTTGATGGTAGTCATTGGTATTTACTAGTAGTTACTGGTAGTTACTAGTAGTTGCTGGTAGTTACTAGTAGTTGCTGGTAGTTACTAGTAGTTCCTAGTAGTTATCGGTAGTTACTAGTAGTTACTGGTGGTTACTAGTAGTCACTGGTAGTTACTGGTAGTTATTAGTAGTTGTCGGTAGTTACTAGTAATTGATGGTAGTTATTGGTATTTATTAGTAGTTACTGATAGGTACTAGTAGTTACTAGTACTTATAGGTAGTTACTAGTAGTTACTGGTAGTTACTGGTAGTTACTAGTAGTTGTCGGTAGTTATTAGTAGTTACTAGTAGTTATTATTAGTTCTCGGTAGTTACTAGTAGTTACTGGTAATTAGTGGTAGTTATTGGTAGTTACTAGTAGTTAGTGGTAGTTACCAGTAGTTGCTGGTAGTTACAAGTAGTTCGTAGTAGTTATCGGTAGTTACTAGTAGTTACCTGTAGTTACTAGTAGTTACTGGTAGTTGTCGGCAGTTGCTAGTAGTTACTGGTAGTTGCTAGTAGTTATCGGTAGTTACTAGTAGTTACTGGTAGTTACTCGTAGTTGTCGGTAGTTACTAGTGGTTACTAGTAGTTGGTGGTAGTTATCGGTAGTTACTAGTAGTTACTGGTAGTTACTTGTAGTTATTGGTAGTTACTAGTAGTTGTCAGTACTTACTAGTAGTTACTAGTAGTTTATAGTAGTTCTTGGTATTTACTAGTAGTTAGTAGTAGTTATAAGTAGTTACTGGTAGTTACTTGTAGTTGTCGGTAGTTACTAGTGGTTACTAGTAGTTGGTGGTAGTTATCGGTAGTTACTACTAGTTACTGGTAGTTACTTGTAGTTATTGGTAGTTACTACTAGTTGTTAGTAGTTACTAGTACTTACTAGTAGTTTATAGTAGTTCTTGGTATTTACTAGTAGTTAGTGGTAGTTATTAGTAGTTACTGGTAGTTACTAGAAGTTACTGGTAGTTACTAGTAGTTACTGGTTATTACTGGTAGTTACTAGTAGTTGTCTGTAGTTATTAGTAGTTACTGGTAGTTACTAGTAGTTGCCGGTAGTTACTAGTAGTTACTAGTATTTACGGGTAGTTACTAGTAGTTGTCGGTAGTTACTAGTAGTTTCTGGTATTTAGTAGTAGTTGGAGGTAGTTACTGGTATTTTTCGGTAGTTACTAGTAGTTACTGGTAATGATTAGTAGTTGTCGGTAGTTACTGGTAGTTACTAGTAGTTAATGGTAGTTTTTTATATTTACTAGTAGTTAGTAGTAGTTATTAGTAGTTACTGGTAGTTACGTTTAGTTAAGTAGTTGTCGGTAGTTACTAGTGGTAACTAGTAGTTGGTGGTAGTTATTGGTAGTTACTAGTAGTTGCTGGTAGTTACTAGTAGTTGGTGGCAGTTACTGGTAGTTGTCGGTAGTTACTAGTAGTTACTGGTAGTTACTAGTAGCTACTAGTAGTTACTAGTAGTTGTTGGTAGTTACTAGTAGTTCGTGGTAGTTTCATGGTAGTTGTCGGTAGTTACTAGTAGTTACTAGTATTTACTTGTAGTTACTAGTAGTTGTTTTGTAGTTACTGGTAGTTACTAGTGGTTAATGGTAGTTCTTGGTATTTACTAGTAGTTACAGGTAGTAACTGGTAGTTATTAGTAGTTACTAGTAGTTACAGGTAGTTATTCGTAGTCGTCGGTAGTTGCTTGTAGTTATCGGTAGTTACTAGTAATTACTGGTAGTTTCTAGTAGTTGTCGGTAGTTACTAGTAGTTGGTGGTAGTTATTGGTATTTACTAGTAGTTGCTGGAAATGGAATACTTGAGCCAACCTGTTATTCTATGTAAAGGCATATTAAATTTAAGATAAACTTCTACAAATAAAGTCTACTTAAAGTGATTGCTTTTTGTGAACATTGGTTTAATACCACATTGGTCGTTGACGGACCTTTACGATGTAGAATAAAAACATCAAAAAAACAACAACAAAACAACAAAACACCTGTAACATCGCACTGTTTGATGTCGTGGAGAAGCACCTCCCAACTGTCCATTGTTACGCCGATGACTCTCAGTTATACATCTCGTTTAGTCCCAAGGCGCACTCTGGCCAGGCTGATGCAGTTGCTTCTATTGAACATTGCATTCAAGACATCAGGCAGTGGATGTCTCAAGACAAGTTGCTCATGAATGATGCCAAAACGGAACTTCTTTTGATCGGCACCAGACAGCAACTCGCTAAAATCACAATTGATGGCATAACTGTTGGACACTCTGTCATTGCTCCACAATCTCCCGTTCGGAACCTGGGTGTGTGGTTAGATTCTAACCTATCAATGGGCGATCACATAACGAAAACAAGCTCTGCAGCATTCTATTATTTGTACAATATCAGGAGGATAAGGAAATATCTCAGCAAAGAATGTACTGAAACTCTGATACATGCCTTTATTTCTAGCCGCCTTGACTATTGCAATAGCCTCTTATATGGCTTACCAGCGTATCAGATTCAAAAACTGCAAAGAGTC